TTGTTGTTACCATCTAATTTAAAGTAATATATTAATCAATATAAGAACAATAATGCAAAAATAATAAAATAAATAGAGTGTTAATTTTTTTAAATTTTTTAAAATTAAAAGAAGTATCTACATAAAAAAGCCCCACCCGATACATAACCCGGAAATGTCAGCGCCACCGGAGGATCCGGGATACAAGAACCCATTTACCCGAATAACGATAACATTTAACAAGCACAGATTCTCCGCCCTTACCAAACACGCTCTTTTCCGCGCGTGAAATCCAATTACCGAACTTGACAGTTCAGAAGAGCGGGGAAGTGCACACCACGCGCCTGTTATGAGAGTGAGATTGAATCCCACACCACAAACACCCAATAGTTACTGCCTGTCAGCGACAAAAGTAGTCAAAGCCAACTCAGATTGGTCCCTCAGCATCAGATGGTGACTGAATCGACGGCTCAGGATCAATCAGGGAAATCCAACGGTGGAGATTGAGTGGAGTAAATGCGAGTGTTGTGTACACACCAACAAACTCACCTGCTTAGGTGGGACCCGTTTTCTTGAGGGAGATCCAGACAAGACAACCTCGATAACCACGGAGTGGGCCCCACTTTAATGTAATCATGTGTTAATGATGGAGGGGGGGTGTGTCAGATGTGTACTTATGGTTATTATCTGTATGTATAGGTTTGTGGTGTGTGTGTATGTATGAATATCGGAATTTACGAATTCTGTCGATTTTGATTTGAAAATATCTTAATTTGGAACTTTTTTGAAATTACAATTTTTAAATTTTTCGATTTTTTTTGGAACGGAATCGAAATTGTGTACGAACTTAAGGAAAACTCTGATTTTTTATTCGGTTTTAATTCGAAATATTGGATTGTTTTCAGAAATATATATATATATATATATATATATATATATATATATAAAATGCAATTTTATTATATACTTGTAATTGTGTAATATAATCTATGACATCTTTTATATGAAAAAATATAAATAACCAAGAGCAAAGTAAACTAAAACCGAGATCGAATGAAATCAAACCGATAAAAAACCGACATGATTTTTTGTATGGAAACCTATAGTATTGGTACGTGTTCGATTGTAGCCGAAAATTGAACCATATTGCACGGTTCACAACCTAGATTTTAAATCGATGATATACATATATATATGCATCTAGATATCTATAAACTGATATATTGTAGACTATTACAATCTTATTGGTTTAGCTAAATATTAAATAGTTATTATTAAAAATGTAAAAGTAAGATAAAAGCTGCAAATCTTATATAATAAACATTCAATTATCATAACAAATAAATATTGAATTTTTTTTCGAAGATGATAATATTAAATATATCTATAGGTTTTTGGGTTTCGGTTTCGGTTTCGGTTTCGGTTTGTATTAGGTTTCGGTCTCGGTTTTGGTTTTGGGCGGTATCGGTTCGGGTTTCGGTTTCGATTTTGTTTCAGTTCAGTTTCGGTTTGGTTTCGTAGTGTAACTATAATATTTTTCGTACCTCTTCTCCCATTGAGCATTTTTGCACCTCGAAGATCAAAATAAATGCCAATTTTAATGCCTCCATTATATTATAGTTTCACTACGAGCTTTATTCTTGCGACAAAAGTTCTTAAAACATCAATAAATCGATTTTTTTTTTTTTTTTTTTTTGTGTTGTGTGAAAACAACACCAAAGAGTCATTACAATTTATGTTAGATAAATCAACGGTGGGATTATAAGTGCCTATCAATTTTGTATGAAGTCTTCATAAATTGGTTATAAATGTACTATGTGTTATGAAATTATTAAGGCTGCGGCTGTATGCAATACTCATTCCACTTGTGCAAGACCAAATTAAAAAAAGATTCTATTTTATTAAGATGGAATGACAAGTATGCCCATAAATTAAATTGGCTTTTTTTTCTTATGTAAGACCAAATACAAATAATGAGAGAAAAACAAAAATCGACACCAAGGTGTCGAAAAACTATGCTACAAATCGACACTTAAGCGTCGAATTTCATAGGTAAAAATCGACATTGACATGTCGAATTTATAGCACAAATTCAAATGTCGAATTTTATACCTCAAAATCGACATCTACATGTCGAATTTTATACCTCAAAATCAACATCTAAATGTCGATTTTTACATGTAAAATTCGACATGTACATGTCGAATTCGTTTGCGCGAGATTTTTTTGGAAAATCAATATTCTAGCTAAAAAACCCATAAATGCATACATTCTTGGGTTCTTCCATCGTAGAATCTTCTATTGTGATGTCTTATGACTCCATACTTGCCATCTTTGTAAGATTTGTTGAGTTTTGATGATTTTGAATTTCTAGGTTTTGTGGGTTAATGGAGGAGGAAGGAGAAAGGTCTTGTGGATTTTGGAAGATGGAGAAGATGAGAGTTGGTCTTGTGGTTTTGCGGTTTTGTGATAGGGTTTTTTGTGTTTTTGAATTTTTGGTCTTGCATATTTGGAATTTTTTATTTATTTAATAAATAAGGGTATTATAGTATTTATACATTGAAAATTTTAATTTGGTCTTGCGCAAGTGGTTTTAGTCTTGCATATAGCCGCGGCCAATTATTAATTTCCAAAAATGTATTATCTCATTAATTTAGCGATTTATTAATTTTTTATATTGTCTCCAAGCTAAGGTGGACTAAACACAAATATTATTTACGGAATAACTTTAATTGATCGAATATTAAATTAGTGAGCTTTTCACTATATATATATATATATATATATATATATATATATATGAATGCGTGTAAAATAAAAATTCATCAATACACTAAAAATAAAATTTACAGATGTAGCATTGTTTTGTTAGTTTGTTTTTTTTTTTTTAATTTATCTGCTCAAAAAATAGAAAGAATTGACTCTCAATTTCAAACGATGAGTAAAACTTGTCTTTCTTGTTTGTGCATTTTGACTAAAGCACATTTTTTGCCAAGAAAAGGCAAAAAGTAAATAAAAAATAAATAAATAAATAACTAAACAAATTGTTGGGCATAGTGTTTGGCTTATTGGCTGCATGTGTTTTCTGAACTGCAGCAGCATCAATGTCATAATATATATTGCTATAAATTCAAATTTTGGGAATTGTCAATTTGTTGTTTCTTTCTCTTCTCTTTTTTTCTTTTGTCTTCTTGGATTTTATATATATTTATTCAAAATTCAAAATATCTACATACCCGAAGAATCAACTAGACTATTTTTATTCGGGTAAATTAAGGTCACCTTTTAAGGTAAAGTCAAATTATGAAAATGTCTCTCATGTTTGGATAATTACAATAACCTCCTACAACTATGGAACTTCTTCTACGCCCATCCTAATAGTATCAAATTCCACAGAATCTCTACATTCTATTGAATATACTCTAATTGTACTCGGTTTATGCAATAGTGCAGTTTTTTCTGATACACTGCAATCTAATATTGTTGAGGTTGTGGCCCAATGTGTTTTGGACCGCTAGCCCAAATACTCTTTTATTTCCTACACACGCCACTATTGAGAAAGGCCCATCAGTTGATAGCTCATTTGTTGGAATGTGTTGGAAGACTTAATCCTAGCCCTAGGATTAAGTCTTGTAATCTTGGCCTTTGATCTTGTTTGACTCTCCCTCTTCTTTGTACCTTTTTTTTCCCGTTTTGTGCCCTAAACAGTCTCTGTTCTCCATATTTGTCCCATTCTGCTCTTTACTCCTTTTGCTCCAGCAGCCATGGGTCAAATGTCGTCGTCCTTGGTTGTGCTTGCCCAGTGGTGGTCCCTTCAACGGTTACCCTTGACTAGAGCTCTTATTTAATGCGGAGAGTGGAGTGACATAAGGTAAGACCTAGAGAAAAATCCTAGTTTGTCATGCCTTGTCCCTCTCTTCTGTGAGTTGGGTCTGTGGTTAGTCGGTGGGTTGTTGAGTGTCTCGTTTTCTTGGTCTTACCTCTGATCTTGGTGGGCTAGAGTGGAGAGTGAGAGATATGTTCTCTGTTGGTGCAATCTCAGTGGTGTGTAAACAAATGAGACCTTAGTGGATCTCTGGTGTAAATAGGTTTGGAAGACTGAGCTGTGATTTTTCACTATTATTTTTTATCTCTCATTTTCTATTTACTTCTGTTTATTTTTAGTTTGTAATTTGTGTACTAACATTTCTATGTGTGTTTATAAGATCATCTGTTTCTGTAAGATTTTTCGAGTGAAACACAACAGATACTTACAAGCCAAGACACATCTATGTTCGTTGCAGTTATTCGCTTCGGCTCAAATAGATCACAAATCATATATAATTTATTCTTAGGACTACTTCTTTCACCAACTTTACACCAAGACTTTTAGCGGTCGCTCTCGCCCAATCTATCAACTCATCTCTCGAGTTAAATAAGTTCGTTACTACAAAATATTCACTATGATCAACTTCAAATAAAGACGAATTTTGTTGTAAAATAAAACAAAGTTAACTAAAATTTTCTTCAAAAAAATAAATAAAATAAACTGAGTTTGTCCGCGCCCGATTTTGGTGTCCATAACCATGATCCACGTCCAAATTGGGCACCAAAAGCATAGTGCACGCCCACATTGGCATGTATCTGACTTTGGGGCGTCCAGTTTGGGCGTTAAAGTAGATTGTAGTCGCCCATTTTGACCGTGAGCCATATTTTTGAAATTTCTACAACGAAAAATAAATATTTTTTACCTCATCGTGATGTGTATGCTTATCCTCATCCGATGCACTTATTTTTGTTTGTAAATCACTTAAACAAGATGAGTTTTCGTAAATACGGAACGTTATTTGTAAATTTTTACGTTAATTCGTAACTATCAATCCCCATTTGGCCAATTTCTGTCCTTCCCCTAAAAATCAAAATTATTTAATAGCTTTCCTTTTAGGTCAAACAGAAATTTGGCAAAGTCCTTAAACACGAAATTATAGCACGTCAATAAACAACTATATTCTTCTATTTTAAATGTTATAAATATAAAGTAATGAAGCAAAAAATATTTGAAATAAAAAAAAATGGTTGAGAAAGTAATTTTAAACTGCAAACAATGCTGCTGCCAAACAACCCCTTAACTAGAAAAAAAATCATAGCACACCACAAACGCAGCTTCTACAAATCTCACCACCTAAAAACCTAAGGAGCGTTTATTTAAGGTCAGATCTCGACGAAAACCACGTTCTTTTTTTTTTACAAATATAAATAAAAACCATCTTGGAAGCCACGCTTGTCCATTAATCAAATAAACGAATCCATAAATATCAATTTTCGGGGTATGCCAC